ATCATATAGACAGCCTGAATTATCTTGAACCCATCTAGCAATCTCTAATGGAACTTGATAAGTCTGTACTAACTCATCTTGGAAGCTTCAAGATCCTAAATAATAGAAGCTTACTCCATATATTTTCTGAGCATGAAATCTAGATAACCTATTATTCTAAGTATTCCATATACATGTATGTCCTTAATCGAAACTGCTTTATTTTTAAAGCTAATATCTTATTTGCTTGTTATCATATCGGCTTACAGGATATATTTGCGAGTCAGGCTGGTCTTTTATTGTCTCTTGCTTGTTTTATTTTTTACTCTCATGGATGCTCACAATACTTTTTGTTTCATATTGACCCATATACAGGGAGCGTGTGTTTTGTTTTTGCTCTAGCTGGACATATCGTATCGCCATATTCCACAATTGTATCCTCTTGGTCCTCGCTCATCCCCAACGTTGTTCATTGCTGTTGTTGGCGAGTTAAATTGTCCTTCAGCAGAGGTTGCATTTGTTGCTGTTGCTGCTGCTGCTGTTGTTGTTGTTGTTGTTGTTGTTGTTGTTATTGTTTCTGTTCCGATTGCTGTGGTTGCGGAACGTATAACAACAACAACTTTTTGCCTGGCATTTTATATTGTTGTAAAAAACTTTTACAATCTACGTTTGTTAAGTATTTTAACGGCTTTCTCTAGCTGGCCATGTGGCACTCACAGGTAATATAAACCAATGAAAATTGCAAGGGCAACTTATTGTCCAACCGGGCCCCCCCTTCACATACCCTTCACATCCACCATTCAGCATGTGGGATTGCATTTAAAGTTTCGTTGGGTGTTTATCTGTCAGTTTATGTTTACAAATGTCCACTTTTAATGGTTCTCCATTTAGCTGGTTGCCAACAGCAACAGTAACAGCAACAACAACAACAACAGCACAACAGCAGCTGGACCCCAGCTTTATCATACTCGAATGCTGCTTGTAAAATTCTATTGTAAGTTTGGTTTTCCGTTTTTCATACTGCGCTTCTGTCTATCTATCTGTCTGCATTTTTGTATGTCCGCCTGTCTCTCGTTTGTCCGTTTCCCTGTTTATTCTCCCACTCCACCCACACTCCACTCTGCCGTGCTGCAGTTGGTCATTTTGCAGTTTACAGTTTATTTTTTAAGCCAGATAGCAAACATGTTAAGCTTTGACTTTTCTATGTCATCCGCAGTGTCTCATAAAAAAATAAATAAATAAAAATAAAAATAAAAATAAATGGCACGGCGAGCTCATAAGACACATTAACAGGTATATCGCATTTTTATGTGATTCCTTTAAAAGTCTTTTATACTTGGAATTATGAAAGTGTGCTTAAAATTATACAGGATAACTTTAGATTAACTCGTGGGGTTTTTGGCTTATTTATGCGGCAGCTCTTCTATGCAGTTCTCATAGTTTTAAAAAGAATTATTTGATGATTATTTTAAATTTAATTCTCTTTCTCCCTTTACCTCTTTTGTCTTTCTCAACCTGTATCAAAATCCATCATTTTTCTTTTTCTCCACCTCTTTATTGCTCTGTTTCCCTCTATCTCACGCTTTACCTCTATATCAAAAAATCTCTCACTCTACACATCTTTATCTCATTATCTCTCACTCTATGTTTGTTTATTTCTCTCTCTCTTTTCCTCTCTCTGTGTCTCTGCCTTTATCTCTCTATCTATCTCTTTATATGTGTCTCTTTTTATCACTCTCTCATTTTGTTCTCTCTCAGTCGAAATCTCTCTATGTCTCTCTATTTTTCCCTCTTTTTACTTCGGTGTCATTCTCATTGAGCTCTCTCTCTCTCCCCCTTTCTCTATATATCCTTCTCTCTCTTGCTTCCCTCTAGCTCGCAGAGTGACACTATCTTCATCTTTGTTTGTCTATCTCTCTCTGTCTTACTTATTTACTACCTTTCCTTTCCTCATTAATTATTATTTTCTTTGTAATATATAAATTAAATATATACACATATACAATTATACTTGGAATATACACGATAATTTGAAGATTACACAGGTGTATAAATATTTGTAAAAGAAACCACACTTAAACTCTGTCTGGCTTACAAAGTCACGTTAAGCCATTGTAATGATAATATAAACAAGCCCACAGCTCCGTTCGTCTGCTCTTAAATTTTTGATAGGGTATTAACAAATTATACTAAATGCGCAACACTCTCTAACCACTCTAACCCACCCGAGCCAGCCCAGCCACCAGACGAAATCTGTAACATAAGACTCATCACAGCTCGTCGACTGTGCTTAATTTCATTTAGCGAAACGCATAAAATTATATTCTTATATAGTCTCAGTTGACGCCCCAACTCTATCTTGGTGTTTTGTGTTTGTTATGCTTTGCAGATTTTATTGTGGCGCTCAAGGATGTTTCGGTTAGGATACCGCAGGCGGTTAAACGTGGCAGCAACGCCTTGTTCACTTGTAATTATGATATGGAAAACGATACGCTTTATTCGGTTAAATGGTATAAAGGCAAGCGTGAGTTTTATCGCTACACACCCAAAGAGAATCCGGCAATGAAAGTGTTTGCCATGACAAGTGGCCTCAATGTTGAGGTGAGTATAAAGACTAAAGACTTTGAATATGGATATTATATATATTTATACATATATAGTAAATATATATGCCAGAGCGTTTGGCTCTCATTAAGAGCACATGCTGCAGYTGCGTGTCATAAAATAACAAACGCACTGTAAATTATGCCCATAATGGCTGATTGCATTAAGCCAGGAAAAATCTCATTCGTATCCAACGTGTTTACCTCCACCACCTGCCCCGCTCGCTCTCCCCAGTAGCCGCTCTTAAGCATTTGCACAACAGTCTCTGAAATTCAGAATGTCGTAATTATACACAACAACAACAACAGCAACAATAATAAGGGCTGACAGCACAGCCAGTGAGTTCCATCGCCCAATTAGTTGGCAACGCGATTGACTTGCGGCTCATTAAAAAACAATATATGTAAATTGCAAAA